AAAAAAATCATGTTAAATAAGAGTTTCCTATAGAGAATGTGTGCAAAACTACAGTACTTCTATGTTAATAAGGGCTTTTCACACACCGGCAAACATATTCCCCAGAGAATTCTGAAGGCTATATTCACTTTATTTTAAATGTTCCCCAAAATTACTACAACAAGGAGTGATGGCTCTGCATTGCAAGATTGGGGTGGGGGAGGGGCAGTCTCTACTCTTGTTCCTGGACCTGGAACCATACGGCAGAGTGCACCTGTTGGAACAGTGCTCATGCCCCATGTGTACATGTGAGTGACAGCAGCGGGCACCAGAGAGATACTCATTCTGTTCTTGCAGCTCTGCCTCTCATCCCCACCATGAGACCTCATGGTTCCCAATGTCCATTTGTGACAGCTTTAGTTATTAGGGAAAAAGTACTGTATATTCAGGTATTTTGGAAGTCTTCACAAATCCAGGCCATGCTGAGTCTGACATTTCTATTAGGTATTTAAAGTTCCCACTGTCACTCTACATAACTGTGATTGTCATGTTCTGCACTGACCCGCTTGTACTACCAGGAAAGTGTCTAGTGGAGACCCTTTAGAGAATTGCCTTTCTTTTGTGCCTAGATGTATCTATGGATATGTTGCATATAACATGCTTATTTCAAAAGTAGTCATAGTCCTGTTAAAATATCTGTAGTCTGCCCAACTTTACTGGAACATGATGGGTCTTTTGGCAATCTGTGAAAAATTGTTTAACACCAACAGAAATCTGAAATGTACAATCATGCTATGAGTTCTGCTATTAACACAGAGAAACAAATTTAGAAGCATTAACAATAGGGCAATTTTAAAAGGTATAATTAGAATTGCTAAAGATAAAATAGGAAAAAAGCTTGATGAGATCTGGAGAGTCTACACAAGTCAAAAAATAAAAATACTTCAGCTCTAAGTAAATCATTTGTTCTCTATATGAAAATGAGAAGCTATCTAAATGTTAAACGAACAGATATACCTACTTCTTTGTATCTGATTTCTTCGGTTTTCATTTGGTGTTATCAAGGTGTATGCTCCTGTGCTAGAAAGAAAAGAAATGATCTGCTTATTATCATGAGAAACTATTAATGCATATAAATCTCCACATACTCTCCCTGCTGATATGCTGTATTTAGATAGGCATTATGGAAGAGGAATGCATTCAAAGACCCAAGTCTGATGTCCAGGAGTTTAGGATCTACTTGTCAAAGCAAAACAAATATAAAGCATTTGATGAAGAGTGACATGTGACAACTTCACAGTGGCTCTCGGAAGACTGTCATTGTTCCTATAAGTGGCATGTGTGGGTGAGTTCCTTTGAGAGGCCTCTAGATGGGCATTCTTCTCCATGTGGCCCACCTTAGGAGGACTGGAAATACTCAGGCATCCACCCCCGCCAAAAAAAAAAAAAAAAGCTGTGGTTAAAGATTCCTTGCAAAATGGACATCTCTCAGTGCCTTATCTGAGAAGCCAACTGGTTAGTTTTGTACTTTGGACCTTAGATCTTCTGGGTTTACATCTACTGGGCCTTAATCATCAGGAGCTCAAAGAAGCATAGGATCACTTCAAATATGGGGAATCAGAGAAGACTTCATTTAAGCCAAAAAAAAAAAAAAATTCAGCGCTGAGATACCAAAGAGCTGTTAATATACTGTGTGATTTTTGAGAACAGAAATTGCCCTTGATTGATCTGTCTACAGCCAGCCCCACACAATACCGGCACAAGTAGCTGCTTGATGAATGCAGACTGAATTGACATGAAACGATGCCACAGATACCATCTGTGAGTCTGTGCTGGGGGTAACTCTTCTTTGAGATGATGTGTGTGGTCCCAAAACGGTATGAATGTCATGTCATAAAGCAAAAATACAGCAGAACAACAGACATGTAGGTAAAGTTTCAGGGACAATGCTGTGGATAAACACAGCCAGCTTATAAATGTAGATTTCTATAAAATTCTAGACCCTTCAATGCTCTCTTTGCAACATATAATGTGTAGTTTCAAAGGACAAATTAGCAAAGATTGAATGGTAGAGGCCACAGAGCAGATTAATAGAAGCCATTTCTTCTTTATCTCATTATTTTCTTAGCAGCAAACCTTCAGCCAGCTTCAAACTGGGCTTTAATTTTAGATTTATAAATGGGAGGTATGCAACCACCTTTGCATGCAAATGGGACTGCTGGATACCCAGTTACCTAATGAATATCAGCAGCCGCTGCATGTGTAGCCTCGTATGCATGCAACATTATGAATATGAAATTAGGGAGTATACAGCTGGAAATTAACCCCTGGTCCATTGCATATTCTTGGTTCACCTTAAGAAAGATTCTTCATTCTTCAATTGCCAGCACTTTATAGGAACCTGAGAAGTGTAATTTTTTGAGCATCTGTAAACTTGAGCATAATGCAATAGTGAACCATTCTGTTGAAACTTAAAGCATTGTCATTTCAATGTCAACCATGAAATGACAGCACAATCCTCCAAGTCCAGAGACACTGTGGTACAGCTTCTGTAGGATTTGACTAAACTACAGAACACTAGTTCTCTCTTTAGCTGCATCATAACCATCTGGAAGGTTTGCTAGAGTGCAGAGCTGATTCAGCAGGCCTCACGTGGGGTCCAGTCACATGCAGTTGTAACGAGTTCCCAGGCCATTTTGATGTTATAGAATAACTAAGTGGTCTTAGGACATAAGAGAAAATTTAGGGGTTAATAATTTGTTAATACAAGTGCATAGGTAGCATCATGTGTCAAAAATCACAAGGTTGGTGCAGCAACAGTACTGATTCTCTAACCCATCACATTTGGGTTAAGACAAGTTGGGTATCTGTATCTGACTTTTTAGCTCAATATGAAAAGCATATAATATCACTATCTTTCAAGCTGTAATAGTAACCCTTGAAAGTGGCCTACAGAACTCAAAGGAAGAGAATGGGAGGAATAAGAACAGAGGGAAGAAAGCACACAATCATCTATGGTGGTAGAACACTGGTATACCAGTGACTGGTGGTTATATTGTTGTAATAGCTGGTAGGGGTATCCCAATTACTTCAACTAAAAATAAAATGTTAAAAATAAATAAAATGTAAAATATTTGGCTGTCTTTAACATCAGCTTTCTGATTGACTCCCAAAGTAATCCGCTTAACTGAGCACCCATCATTCATGGACTTGTTGCATTAGGGGATTATGAGGACTGGGGGAAATGTTTTTCTTTCTTTCTTTTTGAGGGAAGTTTTTAAAAACAGATACAGATACCAAGATACCAACTACTTCAATATCACTTATACTTAAGAACAATTCATGACACCACTGGAGTACTGCAAGGATATTCAAAAAAGTGTCCAAGTGAAATGGTATAAGAAGTGAGAAGTGCATTACAGGAACCCCAGAGAGGCAGAAAACTTCAGAGAAGATGAATAGCAAGTTGAGGCTTAAAGGACAGGATCTGAAATGGCAAAATGTGATTTATTGCTAGGTTTTTGCTAAGAGTAGCTTCATAGAGAATTTTCTAAACTCCATAGGTCTCTTTTACAAAAATCTTGGGAAATATACGGAAAGAAAGAAAAAACAATCTATTTTTAGATTTTATTCTATAATATTTAATCTAACTTTAAGTCTGACAACAGCATGCTAGAATCTTCGGTTTTAGGTAGAGAATTATGATTAATCTTTCGTGAATGTGAGTAACTTACAGGTACAGATTACAGACATAGTACAGGGTGAGGAAAAGAGGGAAATTTTATCCAGTCCTGAAACCAGAGGCTTTTAATTGAATGCATTTAAATATAACCCCAGGCTCAAGGACAGTGTGACCAGTAATAAATGTTTTATGTTAGAGATTCCTTAGCAACCTTTTCAGCAATAGTTTATTGGCTAAAAATGCCCGCTCTGAAATATAATATTCAGAAGAAAGCATTGCCAAGCAATTGAGCTTCTATCCCTCTAACTTGATAGAAGAAAAGGAATGCAAGTCTAAGGACCTACTTTAGTTATTTTTTAATAACATGACAGTGTAATATCTTAGTAGATAGATGGCTCCATGCCTCCTCTCTGAGCTTTTCTTTGACATGAATAACAAGTATAACTTATTCATGTTTCAGCCAATTAGCTTCCACCCACAGCAAGGACCTCCGCTGTTTTAACCTCCTTGTTATCCCTTTCTATAGTCTGTCTCTCAAAGCCCCTGGTCTCAGCAAGCGCATCTACCTGTACTTGGTATTCTGATCATTTGCTGATTAAGCAACAGTCAAGCTACTGAAATAAATGTATATCTTTGAAAATGAGCTTCCTCATTACCTCATCGAAATTTAATGAAAGATCTCAGTGTGTAAGATTATTTTCACTTTCCAATGCTCATATCAATGAGCTATACAGAGAATAGCATAGGTCAAAAAAAAAAAAAATGATCTTCTGCACCTTAAAAAAATATATGTAAGAAAAATACACTTAAGAAATGTTTTCCCTATGAGGGCTCATCTGAGTGACACAACAGCTTCTCTTGTAGACATTCTTGCAAAATTTTTATAGGACCTCATCAATAAAAACTCAGTGAAATAATGTTATATTGAAGTTATATTGAAGAATATCTTTGCTTCTAAGAATATTATATAAATATATTCCCTGGTGTGTACAAGTGCAGCAGATGTAATTTAAATTTCTAATTAGGAACAACATTGGTTTTAGTGGGAAAAATGGTAGTCAGGGGCAGGACAAAATTCAGAAATATGTAAGATCATTTCAAACAGAATAGTAGGCATGTAAAGTTTACCATCCTACCAAAAAATTCATTTGAGGTTTTCATAGTTCAATAAAACCTTATCCTTGGGTGAAATTGAAAAAAAAAAAAGGAAGGTAATCAAAGACACTGGATAGAAATTTATATTCCAGCTATGGCTTTCCATATTGATTTTGTTAAATGATACTCAATATAGGAATATGAAACTTACTGTTTTTGGCTAACATGTAAGTTTCTGCAGCATTCAGATTTCCAAATGCTTATAGGAGATCCCATGTCAAATAAAAAAACAAGGTCAAATGGCCTAATAATCCTTGAGCCCTAAGTCTGTTACATCAACCCTGATCCAGCATTCCACATCTTCAGTGTGGAATGATTTGTGAATCCTGTTTGACCTCAGAGACTGCAAAGCCCAAGACACAGTCTGTACACCTAAGAGTCTAATGTGAAGCTGGTTAGTGCTACAATTCTTAGCCTCTGTTAGAGAACTGAACATATACGCAGAGAGAAAAGATAAACAAGAGATCATCAGGTCATTAATGCCTTTGTTCACAGAATGCCTTTATGGAAAGTAGAAAGAGGTTTACACACACAAACACACACATATCCACTCATCCTAGGATTCCCATGCAGGGCCCATGATTTAGTGAAATATGGGAAATTTATGCAAATTTGAGAAAAAGTATCTTTCTTTTAGATGGTGTTAACCCCCCTCTAGAGCACTGTATCTCAACTTTACAAATACATTAGCCAGGCAACTTTATATAATTACCAATCTGAACAACCATACAGAGAAGTCCTGAAAAATTCATATTTCTTTACTAAAAGGACACACACTATACATGACAGGAACTATGCAAAGAGAAAGCAATGAGGATTCCTTCTAAAGATACAAAGAATATAAATGAAACACATTATAGAGACTGTCGGAAATGAAAAATTAATGAGTAGAGATGGGGGCCAACTGCTTCCTCAGTACAAATAACTACAAGGAATTGAAAATAGAGATGTCTTGCCTGGAATTTGATTTGACCATAGCTTCAAGCTAATTTACCTTTCAGTTCATTACAGTATTTTGAATGTTGGCAGAAGACATGAGACTACTGGATCAGAGACAAAACACTATTTTTCCTGACACAGCACCAGCATGTTTACATCTGTTTTCTCAGGCCTCCAGGCTGGTGGGGGAATATTATGGAGGCAACACATGCTGTGTCTGCATCCAAGCTGCAGAGCACTGAGTTGGGGGAACCTCTATTTTCACAGCAGGTAATGAAAGCCACATCTTTACCATAAAGAAAGT